AAAGTTCAATCGGCAGCAAGCAATAGATTTATCCATTTATATTAAACACTGTCTTTTCTCATGAATTTCACACATTCTGAATTGCCAGAGCAGGAAAAGCACAGATTCATTTTTTTAGATTAATGATGGCTCAGTCCCAAATGTATCTGTGAGTCAGGACCTCATCTCTGCTTTCTGCCAACAAAATGAACTGTCACATGCAGACGTTCTGTTACACAGGCATTTATGGTGGTAAATGAATATAACGATTTTCTATTTGTAACAACTCAAATTCATCCTTTCACACACACTCTACTATACATTGAAGCAACACTAACAATAGCAGAATATTCATTCTGTAAATCTCCATTCTATTGGTGCTACTCAGGGAACAAACTTCAGAGAGAAACATCATCATCGATCAGCCCATTGTCTTCTTCACATGTCCACATGAAACCAATGGCTGCAGACCACAGGACAGACAGAGAGCTATCTGATTATGTGCTACTTAACCAACCAGATCAGTTTAAACAGAGAGGGACAGACTGTATTTACCATCAACTCCTGTTTGACAACTGCAGATCAAATCCTACWTGTCTTCAGTTTATCTTGTTTTACTTCAGTGTCTAAAGGCAGATTTCCCCATTAAGAGAACTTAAATGACTGTCCCAGATTACCCAAAGCATGCTGTCCCACATTATCAATCATGTTTGATAAACTGGGACAACAAAACATGTTAGGTGTCTAAAAACTAAAATACATACAACAACTCAACGCATATTTTGTTGCTTGAATGCATCACAAACATAATTTGATACCAATCCGGAACATTTTGTAATTTACAGTACGTATTAACAGATCTTTAACATTAATATTGTCAGAATCTCCTGTCATTGACCATGTCATGCAATTCCAAAGTCCTGTCGACTTGCTTTTGTTGGAACAGGAAATAAACATAGTGGAGCTCACATCACCCAACTTCAACCAGGATGAAGTTGGGTGATACCACTGTCTTTATAATTGTCATTGCTGCTCCCTTCATGTTTGTCAGACATTGATACATTTATCCATACATTTATAGATTCATCCATTTATATTAAACACTGTCTTTTCTCATGAACTTCACACATTCTGAATTGCCAGAGCAGGAAAAGCACAGATTCATTTTTTTAGATTAATGATGGCTCAGTCCCAAATGTCTCTGTGAGTCAGGACCTCATCTGTGCTTTCTGTTAACAAAATGAACTGTCACATGCAGACGTTCTATTACACAGGCATTTATGGTGGTAAATGAACATAATGATTTTCTATTTGTAACAACTCAAATTCATCCTTTCACACACACTCTACTATACATTGAAGAGCTAGGGTAACCTGGGCTGGATCATACACCATGTGTTGCTCTGAAATGTCTGTGTTGCACAGACCCTAATGACTCTCCATCTGTTTCAGCAGCAGTTCATCTGATCATGTGCTTGTTTCCAGTGTTTAAAGTTCCAGTTTAGCTGGAACCATTGTTAACAGCAGCTAAGCAAGTTAGATGCTTTGTGACAGAGCAACAGCTCCAGAGACTTTATCATGTCTAACACAATGCTTTCTGGATTTCTCTCTCTCTCTCTCTCTCTCTCTGTGTGTATGTGTTTGTGTGTAGTTGGGGTACCCAGGGTGACTTCTCCACCACTCAGCCGTTACCTGCTGTCAAAGTAAAGCTGTTCACTGAGAGCACAGGAGTGTTGGCTCTAGAAGATAAGGAGCTTGGGAGGGTAAGAAGACACTGTGGTTCACATCTGGTCTCATTTCCTTTGATATATGTGGTATAACTCAATTTCTCCATGTTTGTCACGACCAGGTTGTGCTCCACCCGACCCCCAACAGTCCCAAGCAGTCTGAGCTCCATAAGATGACTGTGTCTAAAGGGTGTCCAGACAGTGAGCTAAAGATTAGGCTGGCTATTCGCATGGACAAACCACAAAACATGAAGCATTGTGGGTAAGTGACAGTAAAATTTTGCTGGGGACCCCTAATGTTTGATTTAGCAGGTTTTTAGAAGATGGAGCTGTGAGTGTCATCGCGTTTCTGTAACTACTCCTCTAGCCAAGAAAACCTTTGAACTGAACTTTTGTTTCAACGTGTACAACTGCATTAACTAACATTTGCAAACTTTCAAGCAGGTTTTAACAAGAGGTTTATTTTAGATCTAACAGTTAAGAGACAATTGCACAATGTAGTGTGACCTACTTCCACTTCCCGCATTGCCCGTTGGTTCACTTTCTGTCAATGACCTTTGCTTTTGACATGATCCCCACAGTTCTTTCTTGTCTTTAAATTTATATATCCACTTTCTGTGTCACCTTTTTATAGGCCTATTGTTAATAGCATTTACGGACTAACAGAGTTCATGTATAGCATTTTTGTCATGTGACAAGACATGCGTTAATAGACTTAGGGGTCCGTATTAACTTTCATCACAACATGCATGATTTGCTAGAGAAGAGATACGTAAAAGCAGACGTGATCTATATTTTTCTGGAGAGTTGTTATTTCTTCTGGTGAAAGTTTTGCAGCAAGGGTCTTTGAGCATTAGCATAAAGTATTGTGGTTGTCAACAGAAGAGGGTGTTAGATATTTCTCTTTTACAGTATCAAGTTCAGAAAATTCATCTTGGTTTATTTCAGTTAAAGTAGCCTACTTATCATGTTGGTCTGGCTCAGGAGGTTAACAGATGGAGGATAAATCACACAGTTAGCAGTGACACTGTATAATCATCAATAAGCACTGTGTAATTGTATGTTTATGGTGGTGCTTTACCTGAAATACATTGTTTTGCCTCCCTCTAGTGGTACGTAGCTATCACTACATGTACTTTTATTGTAGGATGTTGTTTCTTTCTTTTTGAAAGGAAAGATCACAATGACCACATAGCAGCCCATATGTCTACAGTATAAATTGTGATGATAATGAAATGTGATACTGATGTGTTCATGTCTCTAACAATATTATACAATTGTTAAATTGAGGCATGAGGACTGAGCAGAGGGAAGCTTGAATGGGAATCACTAAGAATTAACAGTTGACATTTGGAGGACCTAGCTTTTTATAGATTCCCTTCTGTGGGATGTAAAGCTGTAAGTTCATCCAGTACTTAATGGTGGTGTGGCTCAAGAGGTAGAGTGCTTCAGTCACAACTGATAAGCACCGTATCAATGTGAATTTTAGCTATAGGCATGATGAGACACTAGGAATGCCACATTCTCTGTCCTTGCAAAGTGGTAGGATGGTGGTTTGAGTAATCTGAAAATTCAGAGAAAGGGTTGACAAGGGTAAATGTTTCCTGTAGCAGTGAGTGTGGCCCATGTACAGTATATACAGTATATCAACACATTATGCATTAAGTCTCAGTAGCTATGGTTATTATGGATTTCTGCTGTCCTGTCTGTATTGATGAGTGATAGTAACTGAGTCTGAGGCTGAGTCGAGTCTTTTTAACAAACTCTTTATTAAAATAATGTTCAGATTTGTCATATCTTGGTCTTTGTACAAGATAATGGACTCACTATGTCTCACTTCTTTAGGAGGTGTAGTATGATTTTGTTATTGTTTCCAGATATTTCACTCAAGTTGAGATGAAAATGAGATTATGCTTTGTACTAAGACAGCTTTCCCTGTCTGAGAAGGACATGCTGAGAGATTTTTATAGAGTCATTCATGTCCACTCTCCTCTAATGCACAGTAACTGTCTTATCTTTGAGCCAGTAAATGTGGAATTCTGAATTAGCTACGGGTGAAAATTAGCTTGCTGTCGGCTGATAAAAAAATGTCAACTCAAGATTGGAAAAGGTATACTTGAGAGAAACGAAATGTGGCAGGCCAGTGCTGAGAGCTGCCTGCTGCACCAGATCTGACCATTATAAGATGTTAGCATGTAGAAATTACCTCTTATGATTATTATATCATAAAGAAATTATTATTATTATTTCTTGGTTCAAAAGATATATATATATATTTAATATTAATATTCTGTCCAGATCAGAAATATACTTTTGAAAATTGTTTTTCATCATTAATGTTTAATGTGTCCATATAATTTTAGATCCCACAAATCTGGTCCCATTGTGGAGCTCTCGTAGAGAACTTCTACCTTCTCATGGACAAAGAATGCATGATCTAATGTGAAAAGGGTAGTTAGCTAAAGGTTTATTAGCAGCATTAATACTCTGTGGAATTCTTTGGGCTTGGTATGAAACCAAGCCCAAAGAATATCCTATACAGGTAAGCAGGACCTTCTGCTTGGTAGACCTTGTTGAGACTTTACATGACCTCTTCCAATAGCTTAGACACTCAGTATCCACATAAGAAACAAATAAATGATCAACTACAACTTTATTAGTTAACAAAAAAAGTTTAATTTTACAAACTGTTTTTTTAACAATAAAGTAAACAAGTTGTCTGTTCACACTCATTTAATATGAAGATGGGGGGATTTGATGAAAAGGTATTAAGCATATTTTATAACAAGTAGAATTGTGGGTGAAGGTCACTGTGACTTTTGATCAGTTGTCACACAAAGTTCACAGTGACCTTAATATGAAATGAAAAGTGTAGAAATATATTATATATACACAGACACTGCACTTGTTATGGCAAACAACCACAATGCGGTAATTCTAGTTCAGACATGGGACACACAGGACCGGCTGGCACGTAACTGTGCACTTAGATGCTCAAGAGCCGAAGACAATACAAAGAGCTAAAGAGGAAATGTTTCTGTAAACACTCATGGGAGGACTAACTGTTACTGACAGCACTCCTGGACGAGTGTTACCACCAGTGGGCAGTACAGACTTTGGCAGGGTGATAGGATGGTTGGTTCTGCTAGAGGTTTCTCTCTGTTAATGAGGGTGTTTTTCTCTCCACAGTCGCCAAAGTGCTGCTCATTGTGGGAACTGCTGGGTTTCTCTATATTAATATGATTTTAAGGTCCTGACCTTCTATGTAAAGTGCCTTGAAATAATGTATATTATGATTTGGTGCTATACAAATAAAATTGAATTGAATTGAATTGAATTGATTTAGCTCTCCCAGGCAAGTTCTTAGTATAAATGAGTCAACAAGGTCACTACTTAACCTGCTGCTTACAGGGGCTCCATCCTCCATTTAAATTTCACTCAGACTCAGCGTGGGGGTCTTTGGCATTCTTATGGTGTGAGTGTTTTAATCTGAGCAGCGTCAAGACAGATTTTATTTGACAAAATTTTATTCGTATAGCTCCAAATCATAACATGCATTATCTCAAGACACTTTACATGGTAGAGTTGAAACCTAAAATGATTGAGAAACTCAACAGAAAATTATGATTTAGGTGTTCTACCTCCCACACAATAATTATTTTAATGACTGACTACACATTTGAAGTCTGTAGTGCTGTCGACACTTGTAAACACACATCCTGCTTGTGTGCAGCTGTCAGGAGCTTTATGTCCATCTTCTTCTTACCCCTCCTCTTCCATATCTCTTCTTCTCCTTCATATGCTTTGTTTTGGCACCTTGTTTAAGGCTTCTGGGTTGCCCTGTAAGATGCCCACACTGGCTCTGTGTGTTATTGGCTCCATTTTCTGCACAGCACACAAGCAGGGGCACAGGAGTGTCGCCTCATGCATGTTGGTTTATGTAGGATGATAGGCAGAGGCAGCTCTAGGAGGGACTCAAGGGAAAGGCAGACTGAGGCGGGCTCACCAGAGAGACCCACAGCTAAGCTGGCAGCAGCAGAGGCAGATCAAACTGGGGTCCTCACCCCCAGATGTTCTTTTACAATAAAAGCCCTCTACACTTCCACATACAGTACATGCATTTCACACAATTTCACACAATATCTTAAATCATTATATTATTTATAATCATCACATTTCAAAAAAGACCCAAGGCCCTTTTAACTATATTGATGTATAAACAAATTTGATCAAAAGTAATGTGAATAGTTTTGATAATGACAGAAGCTCAAAGGCAGCCAGGTTTAAATGAAATGACCAAAGATGCTTCACAGGAATCACAAAGAGATATCCGAGGATTGGTGGCCACAGGTGATGAGGTAGGGAAGATATGGCAGTCAGGTGAGGAGGACCAGGAAGAGAGTCTGAGGACACCTGGTGGGCAGAGGGAGAGTGGCAAGATATTGAGGACTAAAAAAACAGGTCTGAGACACAAATGTTTGTGACATTGTGGGTGGTTTTATGCCTGGTATTCAATGTATATTTAATGCTTCCATTTCTGCTCAAATGGTTCAATTAACGTCAATAATTGTCTCTTTAGGCCTGATAATCTTTTCCCTCATTCTCCCAGAATTCTCTAAATGTGGTTTATCAAACTGACAGAGTTGTTCTTCAGACAGATTCTCCCGTCTTTGACAGAGGATTTCTGAAGCTCTGTTACAGTGATCGTTTGGGTCTTGGTCACCTACCCTCTTGCCTGGTTACTCAATTTGTTAGGACAGCCAGTTCTGGTGCACCCATACTTCTCCTGGGAACTCTGACCTTTAGAAATACCTCTATAGCCCCGTCCTGATCTATTACTTCATAATTGTTGCCTCTAGTCGCTGTCTGAAACTGTGAGACATTCATGGCTTGGATCTTGTCCAGACAATCGAGACCTGACATACTTGTACCTACACTTTGCCACTGGTGGACTTCAATCAAGTACTAGACACATGTCAAGAATGTCAATTAAAACAAACCTGAAGGGTCTAAATGCTTTTTTAAATGTAATATTTAAGTTTCTTCAAATAAATGCACTGTGGCCCCAGTGGCTGACTGCAGTAATAGCATTTAACCAAGAGGTGTCAGTAGATGCCCAACACTACCACTTCATAAATCCTTTTTGTAACTTAAGCCTGCTACATCAGTCAGGGCAAAGCAGAAAGAAGAAGAGAAAATAACGTAATCCTGTTGGGAACAGCTTCATGAAGTGTCATACAGCAAATTCTTTTGTCTAACTGAATGCTTCTTTACATCCCACAGGTATCTTTGGACCATTGGCAAAAATGTGTGGAAAAGATGGAAGAAAAGATTCTTTGTGCTGGTTCAGGTGAGCACAGCTAATGAAGTTATGTTTGCACTGGATTTCTCCCTCTTACAAAAGCCACACAGTGTACTGTGTTGTAGAACACAAACAACTACACTACAGTGATACAGTACTGCATTAATAATAATAATAATAATAATTATTATTATGATTATTAAAAATAAGGTCGCTACAGCTGCAGATGGGAAAACCAAAGGTTTATGACTCATTGTTTTTGTTGTTTCAGATGCAACCAAACATGAGACAAATACAACCTGGCACAGCGCTCATCCTCATCATGAGCCATGCTGGGTTTTCTTTATATTCAAAAGAGATGATTAGGCAATTACATTTTTCAGTTGACTGAAAGCAACTATTTTAGTTCAATAAATCATTTATCTTTGAATAGGTTTTTTACTGTTAGATGGACAAAACAAGGTCATTAGATATATCAACCTGCACTTGTTAATTGTAAAGGACATATTTCAACATGTTAAAGGGATAGCAAAATTATATTTTTAACACAAAAAAACAATATCAAAAATAAAAAGGACAGCTGATGCCCTATATAGTGCCAGATGATATAAATAATTCAAAACTTGACTGAAGAACCAGAAAGGTTTCAGAATCCTTGATATTTTAAAGGTCTTGAAATCTACAGAACCATGTGACAAGATCAGGATGTCTAACAGAAGAAAATCTGCAAAGCAGGATTGAAGTTATTTTTAATTGGATTTAAATTAATTTAATTAGATAACCCTCTACGTTAAAGTACTAATCTGTCAAACTACTTGACAAATTACCAGCAAACATGATGTGATATGAGTCAAGAACAAAACTATACAATTATTTTTCATTTAATTAAATATTGTGAGTAAATATCGCTGAATTCCCATGGAGTAATTCAATGATCCTGGTGAAAAAAATCAGGGATGTTTAGGGGACTGATTTTGTGCAATTTGGTGCAGATCCGATTAAAAAGTCGACCTAGTGAATTTTTGAAGTTTCATAAGGGAACTGTTGGGCCTTGGTGAGAACCTACTTCACTGTTCAACACTTGCTTTTAATGTGACCAGGTAAATATAATCAGATTGTGCAATCAAGTAATTGTCACTTCTGCTAAACTAACCTTTGCCCCAAAATAAGTCTGGAGTGGTTGATGAACCCATATTTGTAGCAGCATTAATTATCAGTGTAGTGAGAACATACAAAACATCATGCAATTGTTGCTCACAACCATAATGTTTAAACCTTATGACCAAATTCTGACTGAAGTGTATGCACAGTGAGCTCCATGAGCAGATCGCATCCAACGGAGAACCAGGAGCAGCCGTCAACATGAGCACTGCTGTGTAACTACAATGTTTCAGTGGACACATGTTGTGTACGCAGTGAGAAACAGAGATCCTGCCAAGCTGTCAGAGTAATGATGGAGAGGCCAAGCAGGCTTTTGTCAGGAGATGGGTGTGTGTGTATGTGTGTGCGTGTGTGTGTATGTGTGTGTTTGTGGATGGTGGTGTAAGCAGCCATTTCCTGGTGGCTCTGCATTAGGAAGTGGGCAGCGGGGGTGGGCTGGGGTGGGGGAGGCCTGTCTCTTGTGCATTGGAGAGGATATGTCTCAGAGCTACAAGTTGACAGGGGATTGACAAAGTCGAGTGAACACTAGCTGGCCTAACACTCGCAGCTAGAAAAGCCTGTGTGCCGCCAACTTGAAGCCTCTCATTTGCTCCCAGCTAAATATATAGCAAGTGACAAATACTGGTCAATAGACTGCATGTGTGTGTGTGTGTGTGTTTGTTTTTTATGTCTGTCTGTGTATGTGCATGGATGGATTTGTTTTGAGGAGCAGACACACTATCTGGTCATTCCTGTGTGTCTGAGTTGTTGCTGTTTTAGAGATGCTGTATTGTCGAGATATTCAGGATTGCCATTTTTCCTTTGCTCACTCTGTTTTGTTCATGTCAAGTCTTGTAGATATGTACTGACTGTGGGAATTTTATTTCTTTATCTTTATGGTCTATTCTACTTCAGATGATCTGAAATATTGATTAAAGTTTGTGAGAATCTGACAAATCTCTCAAAGACTGATGTTCTACCATAGAGAGAGAGAGAGACAGAGACACAGAGATAGAGAGAGAGTGAACTTAGTGCATCATGGGACATCCCACAGCACAGTCTCTTGCAATCAGGGCTAACCTGAGCCAGCACTAACTGTAAGCTGTCACTTTTACAAAGACAATTTTCAAAATCCATTTCAGAAACTCTCCAGGGATTCTTCTGCTGATGCCACAGGAAGTGGACAGTGAAACTACAGTATGATCAAGTTTAAATATGAAAACAAGACACTTTTAAACTCACATATCACAGCTTTTCCTGATAAACCTGATATACCCTCCCTTCTTCATTTTAGTTTATAACTGTGTTTCAGTGAGAACGTTCCTGTGCCCTCCTGGATACATTTCATCTTCAGTCATAAATCTCTTTAAATACAAACAGATGTGAGGATGACTGCAGGACAGACAGTGACTGTTACCTCTTATTTCACGAGCTTAACATTTAAACTAGTTGTGGTGTGCATTTGGGCACCCTAGGTTAGTCTCAGCTTAAAAATCAAATAAAGTTATGTTTAACGGATAGACATGTGCCAGTGCTCTATCTTTGTTCCCAGTCCAGCACTATATGGTTGTCATTTACGGACAATTACCCTCTGATTGTTTATCACTCTGACACTGTGTCTGAGAGTTAGAGGGATACCACTGTACCTCTTCCCCTTTCTTAGAGTTTAGAAAATACATATTTTGGCAACTCAGCCTGCAACATGTTAAAGACAGTTCCACATTTGACAAAGACGCTTATTCACTTTCTTGCTAGAGTTTTATGTGAAGACTGATACCACCCATTTATGTTAAAAAGAAGCCACCATCAGATATTTTCTTTGTGTTTAAACCCAACCAACCTTTCCCAGGTGGAAAGTCTTAAAGCAACTCATTGTGCTTGAAATAGGCCACGATAAATGAACTGTTTCTGTCTTCACCTGCTGCTGTAAAGACAATAGTTACTTTCACTTGACTGCAACTGTCCATCACTAACAAAAGTCAATGTGCACACTAGTCCTTGATGTGGAATGTTTCTGCCAGCTTCCTAATACAACACACTTTTATCTTGGGAATTGAAACAGATGCACACCACCACATATAGCCACTATTCTTTTCCCCATTGCTCATCAGCACTTGTCTGTCTTTTCTTCCTTCTTCATCCTCCACCCCTACTTCTCTGTCCTTAGATCACCTCCTCATCCTCTTCTTTAGTTCATAATCAGTACAGTGGTTGTGTCCTGAGCCGCCCCTCAGAGCATCCAGGCAGATTACAGACGTCCAGTCATGCTCTTGGGGGACTGAATGCAATTGCACATCTGTCCACATTTTTCTACATCTGGCTTTAGATTCAATTTAATTAATTTTTAATTCATTTCAGTTGACTTCAGTTCTATCATTTTATTGAGACCACTTTATCTCTGTTCATTTAGGTGGAATTCTTTTTCTATAATTTTCCATTTCATTCAATTCCACTTTAATTGACTTCAATTCATTTCAGGTGAATTCACTTCTAATAGAATTGGATTTAGATTAAATGCAAGTGATTTTAATTCACTTGCATGATTTTTTTGTACGGAAATCAACATCAGAAGAAATATTGAATTTAAAAATGATTTCAATAAGCCATACACATTTCATCTGCACAGACAGAAGGACTGAGCTGTTAGAAGTGTATGCATGGTATATCTACTAGTCAACCACATGTCAGGAATCAGATACAAAGTTTGGCTTTTGGCCAGTGAAGTTTGTTTGAGAAAGCATATGCCAAATCATCCCCAATATTCACATCCATGTGCTTCCTGTAATGATGTGAACATAAACGACTTCAGCAATCCCCTCCACTCTCTCTCCCTCTCTCATTCTTCATCACTGTCTCTCCATCTAACCTCTCTGCTGACTGACAGCTGAACGAGAGAGAGAGACACTGGGAGAAAGGAGGCTGGTGTTTTGGGGTATGGGTGGGTGGGGGGGTCGGTAGTTTAGACTCTGATTTGCCTTCGTGGTGTCCTGGAGGCCAGGGAGCTGTTGGAGAGTCGGTCCGGTTCCCTCCATCCCTTACTTGGCCTCAGGTCTCATCAGTGCTGTCGTGAGGAATCTCATTTGTCACACACATGGAGGGGACTCCAACACACACACACACACACACACACACACACACACACGGGATGCAGCTGCAGCTAAAGTGAGAGCTGCCACTTGCAGCGGCAGAGGTGGCGACAGCGCTGGATTGGCCAAGCCTGGTGATTTGTGACGACAGGCTGGTATGACTGGCAGCTACGGTAGCAGCAAGCAGGACGCAGCTAACAACAGACCACCTCCTTTCTCATAACATAGGGAGCTGTGTCAGGAGCACAGCAAAACTGACGATGGTCACCACTGCTGTATAGGCAGCTTAAGGCCTTTTATTAACAGGTTTGAAAGCTGTGTTAGTTTCCAATACAGTTTACTTTACACTACACCATAAGAAAGTGTTGAATGGCAGCCTACTATGCCTGAGGGTGGCACTGAAGGGAAGCTGTCCTCAAAAGTCTATCTTCCGACAGTGTGAATGTGTTTTGCAGATGAGATACATTCAGTTACTTGCTTATTTTATATCGGAAAAGATTCATTCTTCAGAGCTCATTAATATGCTGATTCAAATTTAAATCTTTCAGTGGAATTTTATGGTCATGGTGAAGGAGACAGAAAGATAAGGAAGCTGCTGCATAGATTAAAATGCATTCTCCGTGATGATACCTTCAAACTTGAAGTTCTAATTTACCAACTTTAAAACCATTTAATTGTCAGGACCGGATGTTGGATGTAACACATACTTCATACCTATGATTATATGTTGTGTTTCACCATGCTAGCAAAGTTGCTTGTTCACTCCACCACTTTGGTCCAGACTGAAATGTCTAAATAAAAACTATTGGATAGAAAACAGTGCATAATTAATGTACACAAAAATCTGGCATCAATTTGACTTTTCTGCACAGTAGTTCCAAAATAAATCACAGCCTGAGCTTTCGATGGACAGATGAATAATGGCAGCAGATGAGACCCTGGTCAGACATAACTCCACCTTCATTGTGTTAGAGAAAGAATTCTAACATACCTTGCTGACATTGTTACATGATAAACAACATTAACTGGTCTTCTCCTCCTCGATGTCTCACCTACATTTAAAATGAGTCAATTCCTCTAAACTTCAGTTACCAGTCCCGCTCCAGCAACACACCCCTAACACCAAGCTACAAGCTGATGCACAGTTAATATTCTTTACACTACAATTTCCATGCAGCACAGCAGCACAGCAACACATATTTTCACAGGAAGCTTTCACCTTTGAATAAATCAAATAAGCAACAAACAAAGCATCTACACGTGTGATGATACTTATTTACAGTGTGCTGTAGACACGTGCACCATACCTGTGGGTGACAAACCTGAAAACAGAAATATAGGCTGTGTTTAGTAGTAACACTGAGTGTGGTGATACAGGGGTCTGTTGGACCCCCTCTTAATGTGTAACAGATGTTTTAAATGAAAATCAAATGGTCAGAATATTAATATCTAAGCTAAAATGTACATTCAAAATTCATCAATACTGCACAACCTAGTTGCTTTCTGGTCGTCATTATTTATCATTATCACTTTGTTTATCCTGGATTCCTGGGTTCCGTGGCACATTTACATGCTGTCAGATGTGAAGGAACAGCAAATATCCTGATGAAACTATGATAGCTTTCAATGTGCCACCTCTGAGCACTGCACTTCCCTGGGCCATTAACAATACACATGTCAAATGTGAAGTTGAATGGATTGCAAGATATCCTTTTCACATTCATACATACATACATGTACAAACAGACAGACAGATGTTTGTACAATTAGTGGGTAGATAAAATGAGTTAGCCATGCCAAAGATTTGGGGTGTTATTCAAATTATTGTTTGTTGGCTCTCTTAACCCTTTGATACAGAACATGGGTCAAAAGGAAACTTGACGCAGTTTCTATTTTCTATATCTTTGCAGCAAATTTATTTCATCATTCAGCATTTCAGGTATTCTTCAATTTACTTGTTTTAGATCATCACAAATTCCTTTCTTACTTCATTTTTGTATCACTGCACCTCAGATGCACAACATGGGTCAAAAATGACCCATATTTATTTCCTGTGTAATTTCATGCATGGCTG